TCATTTTAGTTAATATGTAAAGTCCTTCAGATAGTGCCTGGCTTATAGTAAGAACATGTATAAGTACTAGTTATTTACCATTTTTAAGTTATCTTCAGTTAATATTATCCTTGGACTATGGCTAATTTTTAGAACCTAAATATGTGGAATCCTTCCTAGAAGTGAGTCTTATTTGTAGTAGGCACTCAAGAAATGCTTGCTGAAATGAAGGAATTTAATGCTTGTGCAGTCATAATGTTGAGTTTCCTAGATGCTTCACATAGAAGAAACCCCTTTCTACAACAACAAAAGAAAGAACAGGTACTCTAAACACATCTATTTTATGCAATTTCGAAAGCTGAAAAGTCAGACTTTCAAAGGCACTTCACTCCAGGTGGCTCAATGTTATAATTAATACACTTAAATACATGATGCCATGAAATGTAAAGCCACAGTACCCATCCCCCTCAATAAAAAAATAATTTTAAAATGACCTGATTCTAATTTTTCACTATGTTCTCACTGTTTGACTATATAAATTGTGCCAAAAGTCAGCAAAGTATGATCTACTGACAGGTTTACTTTGATAAAGACCATAACATGAAGAAAGAGGTTGTTATGGTCATGAAGACTACATGTGAAATCAGAATTATTAGGTTATCTAGATATATATTCCTGAGAAAAGAATAGATATGAGATCCTTAATTCCTCGTTACAAACTCTCCTCCACCCTTCCCTTTTTTTTTTTTTTTACCTAGTGGATAACTATTGTCTTCCCAGTGATAAGGGGCCTGTCCCTTTCTGTAGGATGAAGATTTCCTTCTCCAGTGGATTAGAAGGAAGGGGCCATTTATTTGCCATGTTAGCCATAACCATTTCAACTCTATCCTCCAAGTCAACAACAGAAGTAAAGGGAATTTGGATGTTGTTTAGTTCATTCTGAGACTCCAAGACATTGATTCCTTCAAACCTGACCACCAGAGAGGCCGTGAGTTCTAGTTCTCAGTAGTCACTAATGATGGCATTGACAATGATAGTAGATTTCACTACTCCACCTAAAACAATGCTGGGATAATTTCAGACTTAGGATCAGCAATGAACAATTTAAATGTTAGTACTTGAGCTTCCTTTATACCACTGCTAAGGTCAAAGAAACTGGCTGCGTTTTGGACCATTAAGGGAAATGATATCACAGCCAGCCAGTCTAGCCCAGCACCATTTACAAAGTAAATGATAGTCCCACCTAGGTTTGTATATTTTCTTTTTTGGGGGGAGGGGGTGGTGCTAAGGATTGAACTCACGGGCACTCAACCACTAAGCCACATCCCCAGCCCTATTTTATATTTTGTTTAGAGGCAGGGTCTCACTGAGTTGCTAAGTGCCTCACTTTTGCTGAGGCTGGCTTTGAACTTGTGATCTTCCTGCCTCAGCTCCTGAGCTGCTGGGATTACAGGAGTGCAACACCATGCCCAGCTGATTAGTTTTGTATATTTTCGACCACATCTGGTTTCTTTATTTTCAAGAGATACATTTTTTATTTGTTGGTCATGCCAAATATTTTGTGGGAATTTTGCACTGTCCCCAAAGTTTATCTTGGCATCAAAACATTCCAGAGTTTCACCAAAGGAATTCACGTCAACACTGCATTATTTTCAGGAAGAAATAATACAGCTCCTTAATCTGATTTGTAGCCTGATTTTCATAGATTTACAGAAGCCTAAATTTTCTCCCATATGCTAGACTTGACTAAACTTTATGCCTTAAAAATGTAAATTTCCTCCTTAAAAATAAATTCTGATATAGGAGCTGGCACCTATAAATATCAATGCCTTTCTCAGTAGCTTCCCATTAGTAAAGGCCAATAAAGGATTGGTCCATTATGATTTCTAAACAGGAACATTATACACAGTGTCAGTACTTTACAAAGTATTTAAAGTTTTATCCCATTCTTTGACATCAGTTTCTTTCTTTTATATTCTTGCAAGATCAGTTATTTCTTCAAGGTGAATTATACTCCCTTAAACTTACCTGGCAGGAGTAGAGACTTGTACACCAACATTCAACTGAGTTTAAAAACTAAGGTCTTTGTTATGGGGGAATGATATCTTAAACAAAGATCACACACAAAAGAGTCTAGATGATTGAGATGAGAAGATAAGGGAGTTTAATATGAATTTAATTCTACGTTAGAAACAAACCTTAAGAAAAATCTCACATTTGGTGTGAGAGAGAGAGAGAGAGAGAGAGAGAGATGCAACTTTCCAAATATGCATACCTCAGACAGTGTCTTACCCATTTTGTATTTCCAACATCTAGCCATCTAGCATGGCATATATACTTGGGGATATATGATTAAATGAATTGCATTTTGGACCAGTCCTTGGGCCACTGGAAAAGCCTATCTCTAGATCACATTTTAAGAACTACTGCCACAGCAGCATGTCTAAGAGTCAGCTTATTTGGTTTAAATTGCTCTCTAATGTGATGATTAACTCGCATGTAAACCCAGTCACAATTTTATCACTATAGCTTAATTAATAGGCATGTTGAGTCCAACTGCCACTTCAGTTTTGTACCCAGAACTCCATAGGTCTATAAAATTCATTCTATTGGAAGACAGAGAGGTTTATGTCAATTTCTAAACTTTACACAATTAAATAAAATTAGACAAGGCTCAATACTTTTTAAATCCAGAGGCTTTCTTTCTAGATTTGTTATCAAACAAATGCATCAAAGAATAGTCTCCTACTACAAATTCCCCAAGTCACAATGCTTAGGATCAGAGCTAGACTGAAAATAAAAATGGGCCACGACTTCTACCCCACCCACAAAATGATTCAAACAGGAAATTCCTACTTGCCGGTTGCTCAATCTAACTTGCTAAAGAAATAAATCTCTGGGTGGACAAATTTTTATTCAAATACATTCCTCAGGATGATGTTCAATAAGAGATCTCCTGAACAAAGAATTATATCCACCTGCCTGGAAAAGACTCAACCTCTGTGTCACTTGTAATGAGCCAATGTTGAGTCAAAGTGGATGACACAGCCCAGCACCTCCTAAGTCTTCCCCTTCCTCTTCCGCTTTCCTGATTTAACTTTGGGCACAACATCTTCCTCTATGGATTCTTTACTTTTTACTTGCAAATGCTAGATCATATAATCTCAATTTCTACAATTACCATCTCTGTTGTTGTGCGTTAATCTGCTAAATAAGATTTTTTATACAAAAATAATTCAGCATCCAGAAGTAAAGAAACATACGGATTTGTGACTAGAAGGAAATTAACAGACCAAGAAAAGGAAAAAAAAAATAGAGCCCAATGCTAGTGAATTAATTCTAGAGTTAACATAAAGACAAATCAGAAAAGAACTATGGTCTGAGGAAGCAAATAGAGTTGAGGACATGCATACATGATGATCATCTTCTAAGTTCTGTAATACAAAGATGAATGAGACCTTGGCCTGGAGTTGCTCACTTGTAACAATGGCAAGGTAATCACTAGTTGCTATGGAGTACATGTAGACAGATATGCTTTGGATAAGTTGGTTCTAAGTGGTGCCAAGTCTGCCTCACTGTCAGACAATAAGAGGATCAGAGAGAAAAACTTAAGTTATTCAAACAGTAGGTAGATATATGATAGAGGGAATAACTATTGACAAAAATAGAGGCTAAAGGTGGGTAAAGGTAAGGAACTACAAGTGGTATAAGATCCTGGAAGAGATGATTAGGACATGAGTCCAGCAATCCAGGTTGACAGTGGCAATTACAGAAATGCTGTCCTTGGGTATAGAGAAAGGAAATATTTTAGTATGGAGATTAAACTTTTTGTCCCTCCCCCATCACTTTCCATTCACTGTGTGGGATGGTAGGTAAACATTCACCATTTAAGGACCTCACTAAACCAAACTTTCATAAAAACAGAATAGTGGAAGTAGAACCCACAAACTTTTATTCAGTGAACATCTACTATGTGACAGGGGCTTTTTCTACCAGAACTGATTACTGTGGCTTTCTGGCAGCCTGCTGCCTGGGGTAATTCTCCACACAGCTCAGAGAGGTAGCTATTACCACCCTCCATTTCACGATGAGGAGGCAGAGGTGCAGAATGGCTAAATAACAAAATAATTTGCTTGAGGGTGAAAAATAAGACTGAAATCAACTTTAACTTCAAAGCTCATCCTCTTTGCCCAACCCAATGCTGTCTCATGAAACACGAAATACAATCCCCAAGAAAGGTAGGTCAAGTTTCCTAGTGTGTGTGTGTGTATGTGTGTGTGTGTGTGTGTGCGCGCGCGCGCGTGCAAGTGTGCACACACGAGCATGCGGGTGGGGTTGGAGGAAGTGGGTTCTAGGGCCAACCTACTGCCCTGCGAAACGATGTTCCCCAAATAGCCCCAGACCACTGTGCCTATAATTCATTCCATTATAATGAACAGAGGGGTTAAGGTATTGTTTCACAAGCCCTGGTTGAAACGCAGATATGGACCTGGGAAGACTGACACGATCTCTCTTTAATTACTCCTAATTAAAGAGCTGGCTCTTTGACAACTTGACCTGACAGGTCCAGGAGTCAGGAAAAGGAGGGGGAAGTTGTCTGAGGTCTCCTGTCACAGGAAAACAGATGAGGATTGGGTATCTGGATGGGGAAGTGCCTCGCGCTCCATGGGATGTCGGAGGTTGAAGCTAAACTAAAAACAAACTTTGACTTCTGGACAATTCTCTAGAAAGCGGGTAGGGAAAACACCTTGAGCTGAACTGCTCGAAATTCCCATTGACAAGTCTCCCTGGGTTCACCCATCTTCCAGTCGTGGACGCCTCCACTCAACTACCCAGGCGCAATTAAACTGGGTCACTGCAACCAATACCATGCCAATAGGTCCACAGAAGTCAGGTTCGCAGATTTAACCCTTTCCCTCAAGACTCTGATTCTGGGGGCCACGCTCTTTCCGCCTGCACCGCGCCCGCGCCCGGGGCTCCCGGACTGAGCATGCTCAGTCGCCGCCCGCTTGGTGCTCCCAGGGAAACCTCTGCACGCCCTCCCCATCTGCTCCTGGTCGCCTCCTCGGAGCCGGCCGCCCAAGGTGCATCCCGACTTGCTCAGCTCCACGCGACCCAGATTCCTGCCCCGCCCCCGCCCCTCCCGCGCCCGCAGCCAGTGCGGCAGCCGCGGCAGCCTCTGTCCAGCTTCGGCGCCAGAGACCAACCGCGTCGATTAGGGCCGCGAAGCGCGCCGCCCGAACGCTGGAAGAAGCAGAGATGGAGACCGCCCTACTGAGCGCTGGGAGCTGCTGAGCCTTTTACTGTCAAAAGCTCAGGTGAGTAGTGGCCCCAGAAGATCCACGGGGCAAGGTTAATGCCCTTGAAGAGGAGAGAGGTGGCTGCGAGGACGTCAGGCATAGTGCGAGCTGCGCTGACTGAGGCGCAGCAGAAATTCTAAGGGTTGGAGGCAGAGAGGGGACCTGGATGAAAGTGCACACTGCTTCGGTGCAGGAGCTCTGGGGTCACCCGGGATCATAATCCTCTTCCCCATCCTGCCCCCTGAGATTTACACCAGCCGCGCCGCAGGTCAGCGCAGAGGCTGTTTGCATCTCGGCCTGGGCGCAGGTCGCCTAGCGACTGAACGCCACCGGAATCGGGTGGGAGGGATCCAAAGCAGAGGCCAAAATGGGAAGCCGGGACAAAGGGCTGCCTGGGTGGGACGAGTGGCCGGTCCGGATCCCGAGGAACCCTCTTCCCTGTGGGCTTGGTCACTAAAGGCTGGGCAAGGCAGATGAGTGGAGTCGCCGGGCTAGGGTCGTTGGCGCTTCCACCTGGAGGAGCTGATGAGGGGCTGGCGCCTCCTCCAACTGCTGGGAAACTCTGCACTTAAAACAGCTCTCTTTCCAGAGCAGGTAGGATTAAACAGGCGAGTGGGGGACAGAGCTGTTAAAACCCGAAGAGTGGAGTGTAGCCGTGGGTCTTGCTGTGTTTCCGAGTGCGTTTTCCGAGTGTGGGCACTGGCTGCTCCGGCTCACGGTGTTTCAGCTCACCCTCTAAGTGGCGAGTCCGGTAACACGCCTTATGAATATTTCAGAAACGACCTTACGATCTCACTTGCTTCAGATCAAGTTTAATGAGTATGTTTGTCAGCCTTTTTGCTCTGCACAAGCAGGTGGAAGCCCCAAACCAGTGCCGTGAGCCTTCTAAATTTTATCGCTTTCCCTCATCAAGGAGGAAAAAGATGTCACTAACACCCAGTGAGCTCTAGATTGGTACCATAAATTGAACCTGTCATTTGGAAAGACCAATTGTGGGCAGAGTTCCAGGCATTGTTCTGCATCTCTGCAGTGTGTGCAGTATTGTGTCCGTCACTTGACAACCGTCCTTTACTGGTGCTGCCATTATGGTGGAAAGAAGGTAGTGTGCTGGTATTGGGATAAACATCTTAATTCATTATCATCCTACAACACCATGTAGTTACAGCAGACTTAGTCATTCTCTCTCTAGAAGTTTTCTCTGAGGACAGTCTAGTTGAAATTTTGGCAAAGGCACACTCTTGTACATCCCTCTACATTGGGAGATCTCTCTCTCTCTCCTTAATCTCTTTGATGGGAATTAAAAATGGATGCCTTCTCTGTAGGACAACACTGTCAAGAACACTGAGAAAAGAACCCATTACTGTAGGGAACTTCAGGATAGAAACAGGTTCAGTCATTTTCCCCTACACTTTAGAATATAACTTCCATTGCATCATTACCCTTAATCAGAAAACAGGCACACAGACACACAGTCAGTACTCTAAAATGGTACTCCTTGCTACCCCTGTCCACTTAATATTCTTAAAGATCCATGAGGATTTCCTCTGTTAACTAAAATATCACACCTCCCAGGACAGGATGATCAAAGAAGAACTCTTTTTCTCTTGCCAGCCCAACATAGTGAGGCTGAAGCTCTCCCATTTACAGATGTTTCACATTTAGGGAGAGCTCTCCCAACAAAGACCTACTGCAGTTACATCACTGGCTCCACCTCCGCCTGCCAGACTGTTTCTCCCAGTCTGTTAGTGAGAACAGTATGTATTGCTGTGCTTGATTAATAAAGAAAAGAAATCCCAGAATGAGAGCTTTAGATACATTTCTTATTGTATATTGCTGATTTACTTGAAAATAGGACATTTTCAAAAATTTTTATTAATACATATAGCCAGGACTTAACTTAGGTTAGTAATAACTTTTATTAATATTAGCTTTTCAAGGATTTTGAGCCAACATCATAGTATTCTTTGTATAAAATAATTGATAGATGGTATTAAAAAGGAATCAATGACATTAACACAGTAAGTGAAAATCTTACATAATAAGCAGCATTTCCTAAAGTGTATTACTGAGCTACTCAGATATAAACACAGCTGCATTAACATACATAAAATCTAGCTATCTGAGAAGTTTGAAGAGCTCAGATACAAATTTCTAGGTGTCTTAAGGAAGCAATCCCTGAGTCCTTTGAGAATTTTTAAACAGTTACTAGTAGGGGTTCCAGATTTAACAAATAAAAAAATCTACCCTGCCCAGTTAAATTTGAACTTCAAATCAGTGAATACTGTTTTAGTTTAAATCTATTTCATACAATATTTGGGATATTTTTATGCAAAAAAAAAATAGTTGTTTATGTGAAATTCAGTTTGCACAGGACAGCCTGTATTTTTTTCCTAGCAACTCTAGTTAATGGAAATGTTTTATTCCTCCTTTTTGGGTCACTTATGGGTTGAAAAAAATAAAGTAGAGCAGAAATCATATGCTGTTCTGTAGACAATCTGGGACAAGCTCAGTGCTGGTTTAAGCTATTGAAAATAACCCATGCTTAAAAATGAGTAGTTTCATTCCATATATATTTGCTGAATACTTCTGTTTGCTAGGCTTTGTGGGAGGTGCCAGGGATGCAAAGTTGAGAAGTGGGGTAGGAAAGGGATTTGCAACATAAGATGGGGGATTTGCTATGCTAAAAGCAGGAGGTAAGAGGAAGGGAGTCTGCTGTAGGAGCCTGAGAGAGACACTGAATTCTGCTGGACAGCTCCAATCACAATTGAGATGCCCAGAAGTTTTGACTGGGCTGGCCTAGAACAAAGTGTGAGATCTTATCCTGGAAGGAAAAAAAAAAAAAAAAAGTCATAGGTTTATGGATAGTGGAGTAGAGCTGGAAATTGAAGAATTTTACCTGATGGTCTCAAAAGACACAGAGGTCTGCTGAGAATGAGGGAAGGGAGAAGGAGAATCTAAAAGAAAAAGTTTAAGTAGTTGCTGATGGGAGGGAGAAGGAAAGGAAAAGTGCAGGGACTGGTACTGGAGCTTAGCTGAATGCATTTCGTTGTATTTTAAAAGGCAGATACTGGCTGGGTGCATGCCTGTAATGCCCAGTGGAATCAGGAGGATCACAAGTTCAAGATCAGCCTCAGCAACAGCGAGGTGCTAAGCAACTCAGCGAGACCCTGTCTCTAAATAAAATACAAAATAGAGCTGGGGACGTGGCTCAGTGGTTGAGTGTCCCTGAGTTCAATTCCCGATACCCTCCCCCGCCCCACCCAAAAAAGGCAGTTGATCTACCCTTTGATGAACGCACTGAGTGCTCTTTCACTATTCCACTACTATCCTGGTTTCCTCAGGGAAAGTCATGATGTGATGACATGATATGGGAATGTATTCTTTGAAAGTTTTATTACTTTTGTATAAAAGTAGATATTTAAATGTAATGTTTGAGATGCTGATCAATATTCAGTTTACTTCTGGTACAAATTCCTGAAATAAGATAAGCAGATGTTTTGATGTTAGCAAATCTGTTGCTTCAAGTAGATTAAAAAAACATTAAATTGCTATCATTTTCTGATTTGGTTGATCCATCTTTAAGGAAGCAGATTTTGATGATGGGAAGAATGTATATTTTACAGAAATAGCACTATGTGAAAACGACCATATGCTTGTAGTATCCAAGAGTACCTACTTAGAGTGTTCCAAATGCAATTAATTCCAAAGCAGTAGCACACCACTTACATTTGTGTCTTTGAAGACCCAGAAGTACTTTCACAATTACTCAGGATAGGAAGATTCGAGGGAAGTTGAAGATCAGACCAACACAGTCTAGGCACAGAACAGTAACTCATTTTTTTGAAGATTCCAAATGGGAAAACTACAACAACCGATAATAGAGTACCATTCTAGATTATACTGCTGTCAACAAATTTGGAATAAGGACCATCCTTCAGAAGGCCCTCATCATATACTTGAGTATCCATATATATGGTTAAATTTTTACTTCATATTTTACAATAAATTTTTGAAATCATAAAAATTACTTTATGAAAAATATCTGATGAGTAGGTCATTTAAATTCAGAGTATATACTAAAGACATAGAACATGAATTGAGCACATAATTTCAGTTGAGGCTCTCCCTGGGTGATAGTCCACATAAGCTGTCATCAGCATTTTGTTTTTGTTTTTGTCTTGTACCAGGGATTGAACTTAGGGGCGCTTAATCACTGAGCCACATCCTAGCCCTTTTTAAAAATATTTTATTTAAAGACAGTCTCGCTAAGTTACTTAGGGCCTCACTAAGTTGCTGAGGCTGGCTTTGAACTTGCAATCCTCCTGCCTCAGCCTCTCAAGCTGCTGGGATTACCAGTATGCACCATCACTCCCATCAGGGACTTTCTTATCAAGTAATCATCTTTCAAAATACAGAAGGTATTATTTATACTGTTCCTCTTTGCAGTATCAGCCAAACATGTCCTACATAATATTTTTGAGAGTATATGTAAAAAGTAGTGATCAGGACATATTTAAGTTGCTAAAATTTCAAGGCAAAAAGACCATTGGTTTCATTTTCAACAAGGTTTCATATGGATACAGCTTACTAAAGAAAGGCTTACTTTATTGATCTCAAATGACAATTTATATGGACCATTACCCAGGGAAAGCCTCAACTGAAATTGTATCCTCAGTTCACATTCTAAGTCCTTAGTAAAAACTTTGAATTTAAAGATCCTAAAGACGCAATGTTCTTGAAAGGAGATTTAACCTTTCAGCTCACTTATGCTAACAATGAGCAAATCAAATCATATTTAATGTCAGTTTTGTGTTACAGATTGGAAGATATGAGCATTTAAAATAATAATATTGTGTCAACTTCAATATCTATATCTATAAAATGAGCTTTAAATGTTGCTAGGGCTCTAAGGATGTATAATGTCTGTGTGCTCTATATGATGTTTCAGATGCCATTGAAACATCTCATTAAATTCCCTTTTTAAAAATCAGTCTCGGGGCTGGGAATGTGGATCAAGC